GTTCTGTAAAATGGAATAGTGCAAAAATGCATGATTGTACCCACAAGCCTGGTGCGTCGCTACCTCGGTTTTTATGTTAGTACATTTTGCAAAGAAGCAGAAGTACAGGGTCGTACTTGCTTTAACGGGCCTCAAAGCACACATTCATAAAAACCTGTAAGGGCAGATAAAGTCTTCTTGAAATTCCAGCTTTTTAGCATGTTTGATTTCCCGGTGAGGGACACTTAGCATGGGTCCTGCCAAAATATTTATACTTACAGGCTAGAAAAAGGGTAGCAGATATTCTCGTAATGAAAAGGCAGTTTTTTCTTCAGACTAGTTCCCGAGTTAAAATGATGTCAAAAATGTCGTAGTTTGAACTTCCAATTGCGTGTAAGCAAGAGACGTGATTGAAAATTGAATTAAAAATTTCTGAATCGTGCACGAACAAAAAACATCCTCGCAAAATTTCGTCTTCTAAGTCTGAATTCATATCGAAACCGCAACAGGCTAGAAATATATTTAATGCGTCAGTGCGCATGCCTTGGATGTATGTGGAAGCTAAATTTAGAGTTTTTGGGCCATCCATGAACAGGGAGCGTCTTCGTAGGATTTCAGCTCTGTTATTTGTAATTGCCATAGGCCTTGAATGCATAGCTTCGAGTTAAAAAAGTTTGGCTTTATTGGGCTGAACCTGTTTTGAAAGTTGTTCCAGTGTTTTCACGAAGTCGTCGTCCAACAGGGCCTGCTTCGGCGGTGGCGGTGAGCCAGCTGAGCTGTCGTGATCCGATGATGACGAAGTCATTGAGTTCTCCACCACACCTGCAGTCAAAGATTCCTACTTATTTGCCTAATTACTTTTTGATGAACGACTTTCACATTAATTAATTTAGTCTGTTTTGCTGTGCAACTGCTTTTTACGTTCGGGCGCATTTTGCCGAAGAAGCTTCTCTGCACCATATTGTTCTAACGTGCAAAATATATATTGTACGAAGTTACTTGCGCCCACTGTGCAGTGGTAAAATGATGTGTTAAAAGCAGAGAGTTCGATTGCGCCGGAAGACAACTGAATTTCCTATAGCAACCGCCCATTTGTTTCGACGGTTCAATGCCAAACCGGCGGCATAAACTTGCTTCGAAGCAAGAAACAGACGTCGAAAGTCTTGCCAGCAATTGGTTGCTGCAGAAATGCGCTACCAATCGGACCTCTTCAAACTGCTTCTGCCTCTAAGCAATGTAAGGTGTCAAGGAGGATTTGACAAAAATGTCCTTGCAGCGCTTAGTTTTGCAATACTGCGCCAAGATCGAAGGATGAAAAGCACTTCAGTGTGGGAAAAAGCTAACTAATGCTCTTGCAGGCAAAGAAATTAACAAATTTTGTTTGAATTTTCTCGCAGCAGTTTCTATCAATTTTCGCACTAGTTTTCATTTGAAAAGCACAAATGTCCAGCGCCGAGCAGATTGCCCTGCTTCCATCCCTCACTGTCAAGATGCATTTATCTGTCAATTCGGTTTAAATACTTTTTGCTTTCGCTCTTTGTCTGCCGCTGGTTACCGTTTTCCTAATTGTATATTTGGGATAATATGGGATGTGAGACGTTGGCAAAGGTGGCCTGCAGGGTCGGCGGCAGAGGCAAAGGGCGTGGTGAATGTGAGGCGTGCTTTAGTGGTTGATGCAGTTTTCTTTGTTTTACACAAATTGCCCTCTGTCCCGTTCCGTTCCTGTCCTAAATACAAACACACACTTGCACAGATGCAGACACAATCACAAATAAAAATACACAGACAGGAAAATTTCATATGAGCAATTACAATTGCACAAGCGTATGCAAAAGTGAAATCGTTTCAGCGCCATTTCCGTGCCTTCTTAAGCTCACCTTGTCTTCGGAAGCAACACCCACAAACCATTTCGAAGAGCTCATACAAACGTGCAAGCGCACACTCACACGCACTGCATTAAATTGGCATACTGCTCCATGTACCTCATAAGGAAACTTACTGACGGGAAATCCCGAATGTGCTTTTCACCTCACACACTTGCTTTCAAACCTCGGAATTCTCAGCTGATTATCTCAGCTCTGAAACTTGCAAGTTCCTAATCCGACGCTTGTCAATGCGCCCAAGTTTGTCCCTACTGTCTTAGTACTCGAAAAATCTACGCAGAGCACCTTGAACTGTCGTGCTACTGACTACGAGGGAACAGGATCCCAAATCTGTGAGCGTCAAGCAGTTCGTACACACTGCATCACTCATGCAATACGCGCTGAAGCACGGCGTTTAAAACTTATACTCCACTGAGCGGAAACTACATGCCGTGCAGCACCTTCAAGTATCATTTAGCCTGCACATATGCTCTTCAATGCACGCGAAACACCAAGAGCACCGAAGACGTCAAAACAGAGAAACTAATTAAGCCCATCGTTTCGAGAATGGCGCTACGTTTTTGAACATGAATGTCGTGAACGGAGTTCCTTGTTGAAAATTGCTAAGGAACGGGAGGGTATCGAACCATTCTTTTATTCACATCCGGGCACGACATGCTGTTCACTACACTATCGGCCCTCGCGCTGCAAGTTCAGCCTGCAGCATCTCTACCTGCCTTTCAAGGTAGAATAATCCTTCTTTTTGTTTCCTGCGTGCCGTAGACAGCTTTCATCTTTCTTTTGTGGCAGCTTTTTCTTCGCCGGTTTCTCGCGGGTTTTCCGTGCGAGTGAATGAAAGCTCCTTTTTCATGTAGGCTGCAGCACTAATTTCAGTGCACTGGTGGGTAATTTCAAAGAATTGGGCAACAGTGAAACAATTTCATCATTTCAACTTCTACACTGAAGAGTACGAAAAATCGGTGACAAGTTTAGCTTTAACTGTGCACCGCGTCCGAAAATCTATTCTAGTTGAAATTACAGCAAATTCACCGAGTACTTGTATTACCAGATATTGCAAAAGGATTTAAACCAATAATTTAGTTTTAGTGCCAGTGAAAGGATAAATACAAATGACAAAAGCCATTTTTGAGTCGCACACGTCAATAACATTCAAATCGTGATCTTCTGTCCAGGTGATTAACAAAACATATTCCCAACTGACTGCAAAGCCAGATATACAGTTCTTACTGTGGTCGCGCAGATTTCTAAAGATGAATTCGGACATTTTGCAAATTTCCTCTTACGTCCTATTACCGCTATGAAAAAGCGTAGGGAGAGTTGCTACAAAGCAAGCTGAAAGGTTGTGTAAGTGGCCCAAAAAACTTATTCTGCTAAGCACACCTCTTCGGGAGATCAGA